CGCGGCTGGCGGGCGCCCCCTGCGGGGCCCCCGTGGCCTGACACCGGGGAAGGCGCTGTCTGTCTGCCTGTCCATCTGTCTATATATCTGTGCAACTGTCTATCTGTCCATCTGTCTATATATCTGTCTATCTGTCCATCTGTCTGTCTGTCTGCCCGTCCATCTGTCTATATGTTTATCTGTCCATCTGTCTGTCTGCCTGCCCATCCGTCTATATATCTGTCTATCTGTCCATCTGTCTGTCTGCCCGTCCATCTGTCTATATATCTGTCCATCTGTCTGTCTGTCTGCCCATCCATCTGTCTACCTGTCCATCTATCTGTCTGCCCATCCATCTGTCTATATATCTGTCCATCTGTCTAAGTCTGTCTGTCCATCTATGTGTCCATCTATGTATGTATGTCTGTGTCTGTCTATCCGTCTATCTGACCATGTCTGTCCATCTGTCTATCTCTCCAACTATCAGTGTATGTCTGTCCATCTATCTGTCTGTCCATCTATCTGTCCATCTGTCTATGCATGCATGCATGCATGCATGTATGTATGTATGTATGTGTCTGTCTATCCGTCTATCTGACCATGTCTGTCTGTCCATCTGTCTCTCTCTCCAACTATCAGTGTATGTCTGTCCTTCTATCTGTCTGTCCATCTATCTGTCATCTATCTGTCCATCTGTCTATGCAGGTATGTGTGTATGTATGTGTCTGTCTGTCAATCCATCTGATGATGTCTGTCTGTCCATCTATCTCTCCAACTATCAGTGTCTGTCTGTCCATCTATCTATCTGTCCATCTGTCTATGCAGGTATGTGTGTATGTATGTGTCTGTCTGTCAATCCATCTATCTGATGATATCTGTCTGTCCATCTATCTCTCCAACTATCAGTGTCTGTCTGTCCATCTATCTATTTATCTGTCCATCTACCTACCTATCTACCTATCTACTTACAATTTTTATTTTTTGTGCTAGGACTGGGGCTTGAGCTCAGGGCCTGGGGTATAGTCCCTTGACAGTATTTACTTATTTATTAGCCTCAAGGCTGGCGGCTCTGCCGCTCAAGTAATATTTTATTGTATTTTTATATTTATGTTTATGATTTATTTAGGTGTCAATCCTGAAGTTTGAACTCAGGACCTGGATACTGTCCCTGAGCATTTTTAAAAATTTATTTTGGTGGGGCGCCAGTGGCTCATGTCTGCCATTCTAGCTACTCAGGAGTCTGAGATCTGAGTCAAAGCCAGCCTGGGCAGAAAAGTCCATGAGACTCTGATCTCCAATGAACCACCAGAAAACCGGAAGTGGCGCTGTGGCTCAAGTGGTAGAGAACTCTCCTTGAGCTGAAGAGCTCAGGGACAGTACCTAGGCTCAGTGTTCAAGACCCACAACCCCCCAAAATATGTGTGTTTTGCTCAAGGATAGCCCTCTAACATTTGAGTCATATTTTATTATCTATCTAACTATCATCTATTTATTTGTTTTGCGCTGGTCCCAGGGCCTGGGCACTATCCCTTAGTTTTTTGTGTTTTTGCTGGTCTGGTCTTGGGGCTTGAAATCAGGGCCCAGGCCTGTCCCTGAGCCTCTTTGTGCTCAAGGTTAGCACTCTACCACTCTAGCCAGAGCACCACTTCTGGTTTTTACTGAGTAGTGTATTGGAGATAAGAGTCTCACAGATGTTCTTGCTCCTGTTGGCTTCGAACTGTGATCCTCAGATCTCAGCCTCCTGAGTAGCTAGGATGACAGGCATGAGTAACCAGAGCCTAGCCTATATTTTTATCTCTATTATTTTTTTTAGGTGTCAATCCTGGGATTTGAACTAAGGGCTTAGGTGCTATCCTTAAGCATTTTTCCCCTCAAGACTAGTGCTTTACCATTTCAGTCATACTTTATTATCTATTATTATTATTATCCAGGGGCTTGAACTCAGAGCCTAGGCACTATACCTTAGCTTTTTAAAAAATTGTTATTATGTAAGTGATATACAGAGCAGTTACAGTTACATAAGTCTGGCAAAGAGTACATTTTCTTTGTGGACAATGTCACCCCTTTATTCCTTAGCTTTATTCATTTCAAAATTGGTGATCTAACACTTGAGCTATATTTTATGTCAACTAATTAATTAATTAGTTAGGTGTTGGTCCTAGGGTTAAAAAACTCAGGACCTGGGCGCTGTTCTTGAACTTTATTTGCTCAAGATTGGTGTTCTACCACTTGAGCTATACTTTATTATTCATTTATTTATTTGAATGTTGGGCCTGGGGTTTGAACTCTGTGTTTGAGTGCTCTTAACCTTTTTTTTTTCTCTCCAGACTAGCACTGTAACACTTGAGCCATATTTGAGTTCATTAACTATTTGAGTTGGGTACTAGTCCTGGGCCTTAAACTCACATTCTGGGAGCGGTCACTGAGTTCCTCTTGTTCAAGGCTAGCACTCTACCACTTGAGCTCAGCCCTTTTTCTCACAGACTTTCCTGCTCAGGCTGGCTTTGAACCTTAATCCTCAGATCTCAGCCTCCTGAGTAGCTAGGATGACAGGTGTGGGCCATGGGTGCCCAAGCAACTTGCTGCTGTTTCCTTAGGTCTGTCTAATGGAGCAGCTGGGGAGATTCGAGTCAGGGTCCTAGCCTGGGCCTCTGTGGATGGGGGATCAGCCTCACTTGCTGGGGTCTGGGGGTTTGGGGGTTGCCCTCTGTGGCTTCCTGCAGTTCTGGAATAATGTAGTTTGTGCCTCCCATCCTGGTCCCTGTGCTGGGGCCCTGCCTGCGAGCTCTTGTTCCTCTTGGAACAAAACACTTCAGCTTCTACTTCTACTGGGAAAGCAGTGGGGGCCTGACCACCGCCTGTTTTTAATAAGGAGCTGGTATTTCCCCGAAATTGCCAGCTCTGGCTGACCTCATGGGAGTGACGGCTTGGCTAGGTGCCAGGGGGAGAATGTGGGGGGGGGAGGGAGAGGACCAGCTCCTGGGTGAACCCCTGATACTAGGCCTGGCAGAGACTTAAGCCAGGAGGGAGGGGAATGCTCTGGGTTCACAGTCCTAGTTACAGCCCAGTTGCTGGGGGTTCCAGAAATCTGTCCATTTCTTTGCCTACTGTGTGCACCCCTGGGCCAAGTAGCTGTGGCCTTTAGTCCAGGCTTCTGGATTCAAAGTTCTACTTTACTATCTCTTGTGGGATCTTCAGCACACTGCTACAAATGCTCATCCTCACTGGAGATGGGGCCTTGGTTAAAGAGGGGGAGGCCAGGCGCTGGTGGCTCAAGCCTGTCACCCTAGCTACTCAGGAGGCTGAGCTCTGAGGATCGCAGTTCAAAGCCAGCCTGGGCAGGAAAGTCCATGAGACTCTCACCTCTAATGAACCACCTGAAAACTGGAAGAGGTGCTGTGGCTGGAAGTGGTAACACACTAGACTTGAGCAAAAGAGCTCAGGGACAGCGCTCAGGCCCTGAGTTCAAGTCCCACGATGGACAAAAAGAGAAAAACAAGAAAGAAAGAAAAAGAAACATCACAGGGCCCTCAGCAGACATTTATTCAGTTCCCATCTGATATCTGAACTGCATGCACCCAACTTGAGGGTCCCCCTGGAATGTGACCACGGGAACACCCGGGAAATGGAGGTGCCACCTTGGCTTGGCACAGGAGGCCTCTGGGTCAGCCACTCTGCTCCCCCAGCTGGATGCGCTCTGGGACACAGGGGAACTTCCGTTAGTCCAGGACACGGTGCCAGGTGGGCAAGCACCGGACTTGGCACCCTGGCAGAAGCTGGCCATGGCGCCTTCTTTTCTTTCTCTCTCTCAGAGTCATACCTAGCTGGCTGCGATCAGAGCCCAGGGATCTCGCGCTGTCCACTGCGGCTGCTCCATGGCGGGGCAGCCCATTGGAAGAAGAATATTGAGAAGGGAAGGAAGTTGGGAGGAAGGCCGAGCGGGAGACTCAGACACAGAATGGGAGTGAGGCTGGAGAGGTCCAGAGGTTCCCAGATGTCACAGAATCAGAAGCAGCAGGAGCAAGAGGAGGAAAAGCATTGGATGAAGACAGGTAGCCAGGTTCACCACTGCTTTTATCCATTTGCTATAGAAGCCAAGATCGGTGTACACTCCGGGGTAGCCTTTCCTGGCACAGCCCACACCCCAGCTCACGATTCCCACCTGCAGCCAGGTGTTATTCAACTCACAGGACATGGGGCCCCCAGAGTCACCCTGGAGAAAAAGAGGAGGAAACAAACAAATGTTAGGAAGGGGACCCCGAGGCCCCGCGCTGCCCACCCCAGGCTTCTTTGAATAGGAGAACCAGCCACAGGCCCATGGCATGGCTCATGCATGTCATCCAAGCCACTCAGGAGGCTGAGATCTGAGGATCTGAAGCCAGCCCCGGGCAGAAAAGTCTGTGAGGCTCTTATTGCCATGCAAATAACCAAAGAGAAGCTGGAAGTGGAGCTGTGGCTCAAGTGGTAGAGCAAAAAGCAGCCTAGGGACAGTGCCCAAGCCCTGAATTCAAGCCCCAGGACACACACACACACACACACACAAAGAGGCAAGTAGACTAAACCAACTCAGGGGAACTAGGAAGGTTTCTCCCCCAAATCATCAAGCAAGAGGTGATGGAGGAGGTAGGCACATGAGACAGAGAGAGCTTACCTGACAAGAATCCTTCATAGTTTCCAAATAGCCACAAAGCATGCCTTTCATGACTAGTGTTTTCTGAGATGACAAGGCCTTCTGCATCATCCGGTTACATTCCTGGTAATGAATCAGCTCCTGGTCCACCTCCTGGAGGACTTCTGACCGAAGTCCTGTCAATCATGCAGGAAGAGGATGAACAGGGTGGGTGGAGCTGCCCAGGTGGGCTGCAAGCTCCACCCCCAAAGCCACGCCCCTTCGAAGAAGGTGGACCAGAGAATTTGGTTTCCACTCCATACAGCTAAAATCCAAAGCCCAAAGTTGACATGGGTAAGACAGAGTTAAGAGGCTCACAGAGGGGAAAAGGTGAAAGATAGGAAAAAGAATTATTTCCGAAGAGGGAAAGGGAGCTGGGTGACGGTGACTCAAGCCTGTATAATCCTAGCTAAGATTTGAGAATCCTGGTTCAAAGCCAGCCCAGACAAGAAAGTCTATGAGACTCTTATCACCAGTGAAACACCAGAAAACAGGAAGTGGCGGTGTGGCTCAAAGTAGTAGAGCCCTAGCCTGGAGCAAGAGAGCTCAGGGACAGCGCCCAGGCCCTGAGTTCAAGTCTCACAACTAACACACACAAAAAAGAAAACCAACCAACAGAATAACAATACCCACACCAGTCCAGGACACTTCACGCAAGTGAGTCCAAAGAAGACTCATTTCTTCTTCCTGGCGGAAACAATTCCATTTCCCCCATCAACTATTTGTGCTGAAAGCAAACATCTCAACCCAGTTTTGGGGTGTGTGTGTGTGTGTGTGTGTGTGTGTGTGTGTGTGGCAAGTCAGCCAGGAATCAGGACTCTGACTGCAGCTAATTTGCTTCCTTTTCACCCACACCTGTCCAGCAATCTGTCTCCCTCCGTCCCTCCCCATCAGCCTTTGTAGCTACTCCAGGGTTCCAGCTGCTTCTCCCTCTGGCAGCCCTGGAAATCTTACCACCTTCTCTGGTTTTGCCCCATCCGGTCACCCAACACCTAGTCCCAGCTTCCACCCTAAAAGCTTCTTCAGGGACACAGATCGGGTAGATGGCAGTGGAAAAGTTCACGGGGTGGAGGAGATGGAGGAGGGCCAGGTCGTTTACAACGCTTGAAGTCGTGGAGAAGTAAGGATGGATAATGATTCGGTGAATGGGAACCACCAGACTCCTTTTCGTTGGATAAATACTCCGATCTCCCATCTTGACCGTATACTGGAACTGGCTGTAAGAAAGAGGACAATGCCCCTTCCACTCACGCCTAGGCCCTTTCCACCATTTTGGATGTTTCCCCAATGTGGCTCCAGCTTTCCTCTGCATGCTAGCTGCCCCACCTCTAACTAGAAGCTCTCTTATTTGTATATTCGTGTGTGTGTGTGCACGTGCGTGCACGCGCATGCACGTGCCATTACCGGGATTTTAACTCAGGGCTTGGGCTCTGTTCCTTTGTTTTTTTCACTCAAGACTGAAGCTGTAGGGGCTGGGAAGGTGGCTCAGTGGTAGAGCGCTTGCCTTGCAATGCATGAGGCCCTGGGTTCGATTCCTCAGCACCACATAAGCAAAAAGAAAAAAGCCGGAAGTGGCGCTGTGGCTCAAGCGGTAGAGCGCTCGCCTTGAGCTGAAGAGCTGAGAGACAGCACCCAGGCCCAGATTTCAGGCCCCACGACCGGGCCAAAAAAAAAAAAAAAAGACTGAAGCTCTACCATTTGAGACCCACCTCCACTTCTGGATTTTTTTTTTTTTTTACTGGTTAACTGGAGATAAGATGGGCTGGGAAGGTGGCTCAGTGGTAGAGTGCTTGCCTCGCATGCCTGCAGCCCTGGGTTCGATTCCTCAGTACCACAGACACAGAAAAAGCTGGAAGTGGTGCTGTGGCTCAAGGGGTAGAGTGCTAGCCTTGAGCAAAAGAAGCTCAGGGACAGTGCCCAGGCTCTGAGTTCAAGTCCCAAGACTGGCGAGAGAGAGAGAGAGAGAGAGAGAGAGAGAGAGAGAAAGTATCACTTACTTTCCTGCTCAGGCTGGTTTTGAACCTGCAATCCTCCAATCTCAGCCTCCTGAGTAGCTAAGGATTATAGGCACCAGCCACCTCAAAAGCCCTCCTTGATCTCTCCAAAAATGTTGCCTGTACTCCCTAAAAATTTCTAGTAACAAGATAACCAGAATCCTCTAGGTCCCTTCTCTTGTTGGTTCATTTGCCAACTTGCCAGGTCAATGGTACTCTCGATCGTAAATGGAGAAGGGTGGGGCACACCTCCCCAGCCCTCCCTTGTCTACCTGCCCATCCCTTACCTGAAAATACAGTGGGCTGCGGTGAGCACCCACTGGGCGGTGATGAGAGACCCTCCGCACACATGCGTGTTTCTGATCCGCACGCTCACCTGCCAGGGCCACTTGCCCTCTTCCGCGTCCATTCCTCCTACAATCTTTTGGAGGGGGCGGCCACATGCTGGGCGAGGACAGTAAAGAGAATCAGGTCTGAGGGGTGCCCTTGGCTCCCATCTCCAACCCTAGCTACTCAGGAGAGGCTGAGACCTGAGGATCAAGGTTGGAGGCCAGCCCCAGGGGCAGGAAATTTCCAAGAGACACTTTATCTCCAGTGATAAAGGGGGGGGGGGAGAGACAGAAGTGGAGCTGTGGGGTCAAGTGGGAGAGAGCCGACCTTGAGCAAGAAAAAGAAAAGCAAAGCTAAGGGATAAGGGACAGAGACCAGTCCCTGAATTCAAGCCCCAGAACATCCACACCACACACACACACACGCACACACACATGCACACACACACGCACACATGCACACACACATGCACAAATCATCAAGGCCTAAGGCTTTCTTGTGTCCCAAGGACATTCAAGAAGTTGGCCGTGTTCTCTTGAACCCCAAGCTTGACTCTGCTGTCTCCCTTGTACACACACACTGGGAGCTGTTCCCCAGCCTCCCAGGTGGCCCCAGGTCCCACCTGGCCGCCTCAACCCTCGCCTGACACCCCACGAGTCACCTGTGGGAAAGGAGGATAGCTGGGGTGGTGTTTGACCAGCCCCAAACTGGGGGATCAGTGGGGAACTTGGCGCCCCTGTAGGTGGATGGTCTTCCTTGCCACTCCCCGAGGACACCTGGCTAAGTCTGGGCTGTAGGAAGAGCAGCAGCCCGGCCAGGAGGCCCAGGGAAGCGTCGCCATGGGCGGCCATGACACCTGCTTCCTCAGCCCTGGGCTTTGGCGCCACGTCGAGGTGGGCGGGGCTCTGACGCTGCGTACGCGATGGGCGGGGTTTCAGCTCCACGTGGGCAGTGAGTGGAGCTTCGGTGTAGGCGATGGGCGGGGCTAGTGTACCACGTGGGTAATGGGAGGGGCTTCGGCTCCACGTGGCGGTGGGCGTGGCTTAGGCTCTACGTAGGCGATGGGTGGGACTTAAGGTCCATGGGGGGAGCGGGCGGGAAACAGGCCGCACCTGCAGCAATAGCAGACATGGCGCGACCAGATTCCTTACCTGAGTGGACAGATGTCTTTTCCATCATTTCCACACCGGGGGGAGAAGCCAGAGGAGAGAAGAAGGACCAAAAAAAAGCCATCACCGGAGCGAATGGCCCCTGTCAGGTAACCATCCCTGACAGACACACCCGACTTCCGGTTGTCAGGCCGCACTTCCGGTGTGGTCGCCGTCGAGCCAGTCATGGCTGGGCCTCTCTGGGACTGACTTGGGGAGGCCCCTCACTCCTCCAGAGCAGCGCCCTCAAGTCAGAGCGGGATTTCAAACAGATGAAGGCGGAGGAGGAGTTATTTCTTCTCTGTCCAGGTCAGAAGACACAGCCATCCAAGAGCGTCTTCTTCCAGAGATGCCAGGGCTGCCCTCGGCCATGGGTTCTTCCCTGTCTTGGGGGAGTGGGACCTGCTGGAAGGCCCTCTTACAGGCAGAGTGAGCTGGGCACTGGTGGCTCACACCTACCAGGCATCCTAGCTGCTCGGGGGCGGGGGGGGGCTGAGATCTGAGGATCCTGATTTGAAGCCAGCCTGGGGAAGGGAAGTCCATGATTCTTACCTCCACATTATCCACCCCAAAGCAGGAAGTGGAGCTGTGACTCAAATGGTACACCACTAGCCTTGAGTGAAAGGAGCTAAAGGGACAAATGCCCAGGCCCCCTGACTCTTGAGTTTAAACCCCAAGAACTAGACGGATAGGAAGGGAGCTTAGCAAACAGGAGGCTGGAAGTTCAAAGCCTGGTAACACACACACACACACACACACACACACACACACACACACACACACGGTTGAAATTTAAACCCACTGCCGGTCTTCAGATTTCCAGTACAGTATGCCATCAAATAAACCTCCTCATAGTTGTCCAGCTCACTTCTCAATAAACACAATCCACAGCAAAATTTTGTGGGAGAAATGCATACTTTTTAAGGAAAGTTATGTGGCTCAAAGTCCAAGAGATGACTTGTGAAGGTTTTGTGTTCCCGAATGAAGTCTGCAGTTTTAACCAAGAATTTCTGTTTCTCACCTTTTCATCCACTCCTGCCCCCCAAGGCTGGTTCAGCTACTCAACTAAATACTTTCTACCCAAATACAATGGAAAGCAAGCATTATTGCCTAGAAGTAGCTGAGAATTATCTCCAATGAATTAAATTGTCAGGGGCTCACTTTTTCCATGCAACCTCCTAGCATTTATGTAAGAGTTTTGATGAATCTGTTGTATATTATTATAAGACTTGAACTCAGGGCTTGGGCTGTCTTGAGCTTTCTCAAGGCTAGCACTCTACCACTTTGAGCTACAGCTCCAATTCCAGTTTTCTGATGGTTTGTGGAGGTAAGAGTCTCATGGACTTTCCTGTCTGGGTTGGCTTTGAACTGTGATCCTCAGATCTCAGCCTCCTGAGTAGCTACAGGTATAGGCATGAACCACTGGCACCCAGCTGTTAATTCCAATTATGTTGAAATTCTTCAGCCCAAAGGATCAGATAGAACATCTTTACTTCAAATGACATCAACCCTGCAGTTATAATTATGAAATTATTTCAAGGAAATTATAGATTTTTTAACCAAAGAAACTAAAATTTCAGATTGCCTTCTGTTCTTGAATTTTTTATTTATTTTTATTTGGTTCTTATTTTTGTGATGGAGCCAGAACTCAGGGCCTGGCCACTGTCCCTTAGATTTTGTGTGTGTGTGTGTGTGTGTGTGTGTGTGTGCCTGTTACAAGGTTTGAACTCAGGGCCTGGATGCTGTCCCTGAGCTCTTCAGCTCAAGGCTAGCACTCTACCACTTGAGCCACTGTGCTACTTCCAGTTTTCTGGTGGTTCACTGGAGATAAGAGTCTCTTTGACTCCTGTCTGGGCTATCTTTGAATCTCGATCCTCAGATCTTAGCCTCCTGAGTAGCTAGGATGACAGGCTTGAGCCTCTGGCACCAGTTTCTTTAATGAATGATATTAGAAAACTGCATAGCCACATGCAGATGAAGGAAATTAGAATTCAAGTTCCAGTACTGGAATGAAGGAAGGAAAAAAGGAAGAAGGATTGATTGGAGGTGTGGCTCAGTTGGTAGAACACCAGCCAATGAGTGAAAGTGTCTGGTAGCAAGTTGGAGTCCTGATCTCTGACCTACACACACACACACCCCCCCAAAAAAACAAACAAAAGGAATGAGGGAGGGAGGAAGGAAGGAAGAAAGGAAGGAAGGACATTTTCAGGAGGAAGGGATGGTAGGTTAAGAGCTGGGGTGAAGCATGAGAGAAATGAGAGCAACTGCTAATGGTTATAAAGTTTCTTTCTTGGGTGATGAACATGTTCTAAAAGTTATTGTGGTGATAGTTGCATAACTCTGTGAACACACCCAAACCATTGGAATGTGTGCTTGAAATGAGCGGATTGTGTGATATGTGAATTATATCCTCGTAGACCTACTTAAGAAAACACGCACACACATATACACACACACATACACACACATTGCCCAGCATTCAAACCACAACTGTGAAGGGTACAACAAACAGTTCTCAGATGGGGGTGGAAGAAGCCAAATAGAAAATCTGAACCAAAGTATAAGTAAAATACAAGGAAGGATGGAGTTGATGCACAAAAATATTTTGTCTGTGTGTGTGCCAGTTCTGGGGCTTTTATGCTCAAGGCGAGCACTCTCGAGCTCCACTACGATCATTTTAGTGGTTAGAGATGAGATTCTCACAGACTTTCCTGCTGGGGCTGGCTTTGAACCATGATCCTCAGATCTCAGCCTCCTGAATAGCTAGCATTACAGGTGGGAGCCATCAGCCCCTGGCTTTTTTTTTTTAATTAAAAACGGCGTAGTAAGAAAATTTTAAGGCAGGAGGTGTGGCTAAATTAATAAGGAGATCCTAAGTTCAAACCCTAGTGCCAGTAGAAGGAGGAGGAAGAGGAGAAGGAAGGAAAGAAGAAAGGGAGGGAAGGAGGAAAGGAAGGGTGGGTAGGAAGGAAGAAAGCAAAAGGAAGGAGGGAAGGAGGGAGGACAGAAGGAATGAGGGAAGGGAGGGGAAAGAGAAGGAGGAGAAAGGGAAGGAAAAGAAAGGAAAGGAAAGAAAAGAAATGGAAAGGAAGAAAATAAAATATCTAACTGAAAGGAATTATAATTCCCAAAGAAAAGGAGCTAAGGGAGGCTGGGAAGGTGGCTCAGTGGTAGAGCACTTGTCTTGCATGCATGAGGCCCTGGGTTCGATTCCTCAGCACCACATATGCAAAAAGAAAAAAGCCAGAAGTGGCTGCTGTGGCTCAAGTGGTAGAGCGCTAGCCTTGAGCTGAAGAGCTGAGGGATAGCGCCCAGGCCCAGAGTTCAGGCCCCACAACCGGACACCAGCCTCCCCCCCCCAAAAAAAAAGAAAAGAAAACGAGCTAAGGAAAATTCCCAAGCATTTACTAGGCATCTATTTGTTAAAGATGAGAACACTCAAAGATAAGATTGTAAAAACACAAGATAGGAAAAGAAAAGAGAATGACAGGCCTGTAAAGAAATAAAATTGAAGATCAAATGTTACTAAAGCTCTATAGAAACTGCAAGTAACAGAATGCATTTAAAAATTTTCCAACTTATGATTTCCAATTTAAAAGGACTTTGAATATATAGTCAGAAGGAAAAAGAAGATTTGAGTAAGTTTGTTGCACCTAAACTAGCTAGGGGTTCATAAGGGTCTTTGGAATTGAGCTATTAATAAATATAAGAGGAAGTGTGTTTCAAATGCTAAATATGAGAACTTCCCAACAATGAAGAAAGAGTTTTGGTGGACACTGGTGACTCATGTCTGTAATCCCAACTACTTAGGAGGCTGAGATTTGAAGATCGCAGTTCAAAGACAACCCAGGCGGGAAAAGTCTGTAAGACTCTTATCTCCAGGTAAGCAGAAAAAGACTGGAAGTGAAAGTGTGGTTCAAGTGGCAGAGAAATTTTTATGCCACATTTTCAGAAGGGATGGTACTAAGGGTTGAATTTAGGGCCTTCTTTTTTTTTCTTTTGGTGGGTCATGGGGCTTGAACTCTGGGCCTGGGCACTGTCCCTCAGCTCTTTAGCTCAAGACAAACGCTCTACCACTTGAGCCACAGCACCACTTCTGGTTTTCTGGTGGTTCATTGGAAATAAGAGTCTCATTGCCTTTCCTGCCCAGGCTGGACCACGATCCTCTAGATCTCAGCCTCCTGAGTAGTTAGGATGACAAGCGTGAGCCACCAGCGCCGAACTAGGGCCTTACTTCTTATATAGCCACTCTACCACTTGAACCATGCTCTCCCTGTCTTTTTTGCTTTAGTTATTTTGGGGGGAAAGGTCTTGCACATTTTTTTACCCAGGATGGCTAAGGTTGTAAACTTCCTAGTTATACCTTTGGAGTAGCTGAAATTACAGGCGTACATTTTTAGCATGCCTAGCTATTGGTTGAGATGGGAGGTCTTGCTAATTTATTTATTTATTTTTGCCCAAGCTGATCTGGAACCTCAGTCCTCTTGATTTCTGCCTCCTGAGTAACTCGAACTGGAGACATAATAAGCTATAACACCCAACCCTGTATGCCACATTAAAAAAAAAAAAATAACAAGTGTTGGTGTGGACATGAAGAAATCGGAAAGCTCTGTCTTGCTTATGGGAATGTAAAATGACACTGACGATGGAAGAGACTGCAGGCAGTTCCCGGAGAAATTAAAACATAGAATTACCAGATGATCCAAAAGTTCCACTCCGAGGCATATATTCCGAAGAACTGAAAACAGGGATTCAAACTGGTAAGCCCGTGGTGTGTGTGTGTGTGTGTGTGTGTGTGTGTGTGTGTGTGTGTACTGGAACTGGGATTAGGGTTAGAGACTAGATCCCTTGGCTTTTTCAATCAAGGCTGGTGCTCTATCATTTGAACCATGGTTCCACTTCTGTCTTTTTGCTGGTTAATTGGAAATCAACACCATTTGGACTTTCCTGGCCGGACAGTCTTTGAACAGAGATCCTCAGATCTCAGCTTCCTGAGTAGCTAGGATGACAGGTGTGAACCACCAATGTGACTCCAATCTGCATTTTTTTTTTTTGAGAGGGTAATGGTAAAGGGTTAGATGGTAAATATTTTAGGCTTTGAGCCCTAAGAGATGAGATTGTTATGTCGTTTCTTATATACTAAGAAAAACAAACAAATTCCTCTAAAACTTTACTGATGAAGTCTAAAACTATAATAGAAATTGAAAAAAAGGAAGATTTTCCTTTTTAACTCAAGATCTGGCTATGTTGCTCAGACTGGTCTCCAAGAATCCTCCTATCTCAGCCCCTCGAGTACTGGACTACCGTCATACACCGTGATACCTGGCACTTTTATTCCTCCCTCGCTTGCTTGCTTGCTTGCTTTTTTGACTTCAGGCCTACTAAGGAGAAAAACAGAATTCTTTCAGGGGAATGACATCAAAGTTAGTGTCCTCTATCATGAAACTGGTTGCAAATTTTCCATGTAAAAAAAAAAAAACATACTTAGCTACATAGACAGCAGGACCAAGTTTGATCTAGTTCCAGATGTTAACTTCTTCAGGGAGAACTTTCTGGAGATCCTTAAAAGTGTGTTCCACCGGGTACCGGTGGCTCATACCTGTCATCCTAGCTACTTAAGCAGCAGAGATCTGAGGATCATGGTTTGAAGCCAGCTGGGGCAGGAAATTTTTTGAGACTCTTATCTCCAATTAATCACTCCCCTCATCCCTCTCACCCCCCCACCCCCCATCCCCAAAGAGGGAGGTTGTGGCTCAAGTGATAGAGTACCAGCCTTGAGCAAAAAAAACTAAGGGACATCACACTGGCCCTGAGTTCAAGCCCCTGTATTACACATACACAAATTTTCACTCAAGGCTGTTTACCACCTGAGCCACAGTGCCACTTCCGGTTTTCTGAGTGGTTTCATTGGTGATAGTCTCACAGACTTTCCTGCTTGGTCTGGCTTTGAACCATGATCCTCAGATCTCAGCCTCCCGAGTAGCTAGGATGACAGGCGTGAGCCACCACACCTGGCTATTATTATTATTTTTGATGGTACTGGGGTTTGAACTCAGAGCTTCATGGTCTTCTCAGCTTGCTTGACTGGTGCCCTATCACTTGAGCCACACCTCCAATCCTATGGTGTCTTTTGATGAAAAGAAAAAACAAACCCCAAAAACTTAATCATAGCCACATTGGCCACTCTTTTACGGCCCAAGACTTCTCGTATTTTAAGAAGGAATTTTCAGGACAACCCGCAAATCCATGCAGGGTTCCGTATTTAAAAGACACATACAGAAATCATTCTCCGCCAGGCAGGCGCCCAGGGGCTCACGCCTGGCACCCCAGCTACTCAGGAGGCTGCGATCTGGAGGATCACGGTTCAAACCCAGCCCAGGCAAGGAAAGGCCATGCGATTCTGATCTCCAATAAACCACCAGAAAACTGGAAGTGGCGCTGTGGCTCCAGTGGTAGAACACTCGCCTTGAGCTGAAGAGCTGAGGGACAGCGCCCAGGCCCAGAGTTCGAGCCCCAGGACTGACAGAAAGGCAAAAAGAACTCAGAGGTGTGGCTCAACTAGTTAGAGCACCACCAGCCTGGCGTGTAAACAACCACCACCACCAAGAGAGAGAGTGCCCGTGGCCCTGCATCTCTCTCCCCCTCTCCCCCCTTCGTTCCCCCCCTCTGTCTCTCTTGCTGATCCCTGACCTTCCCCCGCACACCTACCCATCATTCAAGGTGGGTGCTCTACCACTTGAGTCACGACTCCGCTTCCGGCTTTTTGTTTTGTGGTGGTCCCTGGAGGCTGGTTTCGAACCACGACCCTCCAGATCTCATCCAGATCTCCTGGATGAGCCGGGTTGACAGGGGAGCCCTGCGGAGGTCCAGCCCGGCAGAGCTCCTCCCCCTTCCCCCCCCCACCTGCGCACGCAGAGCCCGTTGCCCCCTGCAGAACCCCACGCGCATGCGCACGCGGGACCCGGGCGCCCTCGCCATGGAGTCCTTGCGCGCATGCGCAGGCACGCACGTGGGACGCACGTGGGGGTCTGGCGCCGTCGCCATGGCGTCGTCGTCGTCGTGGGCCCTGGCTCTCCTGGCCTGGCCGCTGCTGCTGCCGCTGCTGCTCTGTCCGGAGCCGGGCCACACCTCGGGGTCCCCGGGAGCCCCCCGGCCCCCCCTCCGGCACCTCCCCGGCCTCCTGGGGCCCTCCCAGCCCCCCGAGCCCCCGTGGTGGAGCCAGGCCGCCGGGGTGCC